TCAACAGTACAACGATTGAACTTTCTTTTGAGAGCCAAATTTTTTAAACTTAAACTATATAGGTAGGTAGGTACATTGTGATTAACTTTTTTTTTTTTTTTTTTTAAATATATTTTATTGATTTTTTACAGAGAGGAAGGGAGAGAGATAGAGAGTTAGAAACATCGATGAGAGAGAAACATCGATCAGCTGCCTCCTGCACACCTCCTACTGGGGATGTGCCCACAACCCAGGTACATGCCCTTGACCGGAATCGAACCTGGGACCCTTCAGTCCGCAGCCCGACGCTCTATCCACTGAGCCAAACCGGTTTCGGCCATTGTGATTAACTTAATTAGGGTACTCCTAAGGCTTAGGAAGAGCCACACTCAAGGGGCCAAAGAGCCGCATGTGGCTCTCGAGCCGCAGTTTGCCGACCACAGACCTAGAGCATGACCTGTCACCAGAGCAGAGGGAAAGAGGGATGACAAAGCCCTCGCTGGCCCTTAAAGCTTCTGCCCAAAGGATTTAATTGGCCAAAGCAAGTGTCCTGGTCAACTCTAGTCACAAGTGGGCAGGGAAGTGACCTCCCAGGAGGAAGAGGTGGCAGTTTGTATACCTTTGTAATGACTAACTCATAGCCAAAAATGTGGACGATCATTAAAATGGGAGGCTGGTTCCTTGAAAGACCAATGAAATAAGACAGAGCTTTGGTGAGTCTGAGCCACAAGAAAGGGGAGGAGACAGTGTGCAAGGCGATGCAGAAGGCTCAGGTCACAGGCGATTCGTGAAGATATAAAAGAATGCTGTGCATAATTTTATCATATGTGCAGAACAGTTTCTCTAAGCTTTCTTTTATGATCTCAAAACATCTTTCAGGCGTGGTCTCCTCAGTCCCCAGGGCTTGATTTCTGTCCCTCTGACCCCGTTGTCCCCGTTAAGCACAGAGGGCTGTGTGCTTGTCCAGCTCGGGCAGGGGCTGCGGCAGCTGGTGCTCCGCGCGGTTCAGGCCGCCTCCCAGCTCACTAACTCGCCAGGGGGCGAGCCCGAGCGCGGGCGCACTGCTCCTCTGCAGTGCAGAGGTCCTCATGGCTCCTTGTGCGGAGAATGAGGGGATGGAGGTCATTTGCTCATTTGCCTCTATCACGATGTGATTGTATTTTTGTGTAGTTATGATGAAAACTGTCATCTCTTGCAGGCCCACCAGGAGAACATTCTGGGTAACACCATGCAGAGTGTGATTGCATTGCTCCACAACCTGGTTGCCTGCAAGGATTCGAACATGCAGCTGCTGTATGAACACGGTAAGCGCTTCTTAGAATTCGCTTAGATTCTGTTGAGTTTCGCCTGTTTGTAAGTTTTCTCATCTTATATACTAGGGAGTCACGATGTACTATTTAAAGTTGATCAGTCAGCCCAGTTGGTGTTGCTCAGTGGTTGAACGTCCACCGGTGAACCAAGAGGCCACCAGTTCAATTCCTGGTCAGGGAACATGCCCGGGTTGCGGGCTCGATCCCTAGTGGGGGGCGTGCAGGAGGCGGCCGATTGGTGTTTTTCTCTCTATCCCTCTCCCTCCCTCCCTCTCTAAAATCAATAAAAGCATAATTAAAAAAAAATAAAGTTGATCAATGAAAATAGATGTTCAGGGTCCTATAAATAATATTACCAGCCAAAAGGGAAAGTGTGGTAAGATTGTGATAGCTTCTCTACACTAACTTATTTTCTACACGGCACACTATAAGTAGCATTGCTTAAAGATAATAATAAAAACAACAACAACAAAAAAACAAATGCAAGTGTAAGCAAGGCATTTAGACGTATTGCTGTCAGTCAAAATAAAAATGTATATGTCCAAAGCACCTCATAACATGAGACCGAATGGGTCGAGGCTGAGTTTACTTTGCATCTTACACATATCTTTAATTTTACAATTGAAAACAATTTTTAAGACTTTATATTTTAAGGAAAATTTTAAATTTAAAACAAAACTGAGGGGGAGGTACAGAGATTTCCCACATAATCCCTACCTGTTCCCAGAAGGAGGATGTGTTGGTATTGCCTCAATCTTTTTTCTGGTCAAGGAAGGACTCATCTATTTTAATTTTATCTTTGAAAGCAAGAATAAATAATTACTTTTGGCTTCTATGGAAATAATCAAATGATTTTTCCTTGGATCTGTTTATGTAATGAGTTGTATTTAATAGATTTTGTTGTGTTAAACCATCCGAGCACTTGAGTCAGTAACCACACTTGACCGTGATATATTATTCTTTAATTGTGCTACTTAAGTTCTTTGCTAATTTTGTTTTCAGGATTTTTCCATTGTCATGCATAAGTGTGATTGGCCTGTGGTTTTGTTTCTTGTTTGTTTTTAATAGAATACATTCTTTGCTATATTTTGGTGTTAACACTAAGTTGCATCTATAATAATAAAAGTGTATTATGATAAATAGAATGGACAGCTGAACGATCTACCGGACATCCTTCTAGACAAAGCCGTGGCGGTGGGGGCCGAGGCAGAGGTGGTTAGGGGCAATCAGGCAGGCAGGCGAGCAGTTAGGAGCCAGCAGTCCGGATTGCGAGAGGGTGCAGGCCGGTCTGAGGCCCCTCCTCCCCTGCATGAATTTTGTGCACTGGGCCTCTAGTATTTACAATATAAGGAAGTTTTTCCTCTTTCTGTGGTTCTGGAACAATTCAAGAATCAATGAAATTATCTATTCCTTAAAAGTTTAGTGGAATTCCCTGTGGCTTCTGCTGTTTCTAGGAGGTATATTAGTAGTGGTAGCTCTTTAACACCTTTCTCTAGTTCTACAAAGGTAATTAATCTTTTTACATCTTTCCATCTCTTATAGAATCGGTTTTAGGAAATTGAGTTTTCCTAGAAAGCTTTCATTTCATACACACTTTCAAATCTATTGCCATAGATTTGGACAAAATAGGTGTTCACAGTTGTTCTATTTTCTTGGCTTCAGAAATTATCTCCCTATTACCGTTTTTTATATTATGTATTTGCGGTTTTGAGTTTTTAGTGAGTATTTAAGATAATGGCTGTTTAATTTTATTAGACTGGTTTGGAATTTAGTTGTTAGTCCTACTTTAAAAAAAAGTCAATTTCTACTTTTATCTCTTAATTCATTCCTTGTGCTTTTGAGTTTTTTTTACATTCTTTTCTAAGTTCTTGAGTATCTCTAAGTAGTTTATCTCTATACCAATTCATTCTACTTATATATATATATATATATATTTATGTATATAGAAAAGCAATATGTGAGGAAAACTGTGTCAAAGTAAGTCTCAGAGAGCACCTGCCTTGGGTGAAAGATGCAGTTCTAACTGATGAGGCGGGGACAGTGTCATCGGCAGCACTTTCTCTTCGTTAGGGGGACATGCGGTCCTGGTGCCTGGCTCGGAGAGGACTGGTAGGAACAGACACAAGGACCTCGGTGTCGCCTGCCACTCAGTAGGGCGGCCACGAGGACACAGACTCTGATAGGTAGTCACTGACCGTCACCAGCACGCAGCTGCATGGTGTAATTCAGGCTTTTTGTTTTAAAGTGGTCATTTTTAAATGAGCCCTTCAGGGAAAGAATGATAAAACAAAGAAAGACCTCTTGTTTACATTTGAAAATATTAGAGTTATCAACATTCACAAGGGCCTCTGGCTGGTCGCCATGCACTGACCTTTGAGTGAAGGATGTTGTCCCAGCTCCAGTGTTCCCAGCAGAGCCGTCAGAATAACGGATTTCCACGACACGCAGCGTGCAGATCCTGCCAAAGAAGCGTTGAAAGCAATGTTTGTCTCCACCGGTGTATGGTGTCTCAGAAATCAACATACTCATTCCTTACGAGGTTTATTATAAACCTGCCTAAATCGGTGTTTTCTCAAGAGGCCAGAAAATCACTCTGAGAGCTGTTTGGCCTTGACGTGTACTTAATAGCCACCTTAGGTTTCTCACTCTTGTGGAACATTCCAGCTCGTGTTGAACAGGGGGGGCTGGCAGACCTTTCCTGTAAAGGGCCAGGCAGGAACTACTTTAGACTCGCAGGCCACGTGTCTTCGTACTACTCAGTACTGCCAGTGCAGCAGGAAGCAGTCGCTGGGAATCCAGGCATGCGAAGACCATCTAGACATAACCGAAAGCATCACAGGGAAGTGATGGATGGGCTTCAGGAAGTCACAGGGAGCAACCCCCGTGCACCGGCTGTGGTGTTGGGTAAAGCCCATTCAGCATCTCTGGGTAACGGTGCTAGCTTACAGATGGCCGCGCACTCATCGCAGCTCCTTTCACCAAGAGGTGGGACCTCTTTCTTACCCCGGGATCCACGGCGGCTTAGTGATTTCCTTCAACCAGAATGTGATGGCAGTGACGTGAGATTCCCAAGCCCGGACAGCAAGGGGCCTTGCAGCTTCCAAGCAGGCTCGTGAATGCTGCCGCTACCCCGTGAAAAAGTCCGAGCCATGGCTGGTGGGTGCTCTCATGGAAGAGGGCTGAAAAAATTGAACAGATACAATACTTTTAAACAGGATAGAAGAAAATGCTCCATAAGTAAATATGCAGATTTAAAAGGTACATTGTATCCGGGGTGGGGGGATGATACAAAGTGTCATATTCTGGTGACAGTATTAAGCATCAAGAACAGAGAAAGGGTTGCTTTTTCATGAGGCCCATCCTGAGTGAGGTGGTACCTCATGGGGTTTTGATTTTCATTTTCCTAACGGCTAATGATGTTGAGCAGCTTTTCGTAAGCTTATTGGCTGTTTGTACGTCTTCTTTGACACATTGTCTATTCAGATTGGGTTGTCTTTTTAGCATGATAGAAATTCTTTTGCTTGAATTTAAGAAGATTTCAAGTATTTTCATTGCATTGCTCTCTGCTAGGCATTTCGGAGATGATTTGCGGGGGATGACCTTGGGAACGGGAGAATATCGGCGTAGGAGATAAGAGGAGAACTCTGATTTACTTTTCACACAGCACCCGCCAGAACGGTCATTTTCGGGTGCCAGTCTCCGCCTGTCACTCCCTGTGCCAGCTCTGTCCTGCTCTGAGGAGCAGGGCTGGACTCATTAACAGCACACAGTCCTGACTTCACCTGCTGCCTGCCTGGCACTTTTCCCTGTGCTGTCCGGGCACGGCCAGATTCACCTCATCGCAGTTTCTGTCACGCACCCTCTTCTTTCTCCCCCGCACCTTCCCACGTACCTGTCCCCATCCTGCTCACCCTCCTGCTTCCTCCCGAGCTCGGCTCAAACTCCGTTTTCTCCAGGAAGCCCTTCTTGAAAGCCCACATTCTCTTTCGTTGCACTTATCACAGTTGTAATTAAAATAGGAATGATGTCCCGATGGACTCGCCTGCTGAGTTTTCTGTGGAAGTCCTCACAAGCCCCCAGGTTCTTCCACAGCAGCAGGTATAGAATTAGCTCTTCAGGTCGCAGAGCTGACCGGCTTTGGCGAGTCTGGGGCTCTGCAGCCTCTCCCTGGGGAAGAGGGGACAGTCCTCCTCCTCAGTTCCGCCTGCCAGAGACTCACTCATTCATTGCTGTTTTCTTGGGCAGGCATTTTCGTTGCATCCCCACATCTTGCTGCCCAGATCTTGGAAGCAGCCATCTTTTAATCTGTAGGCTCAATAAACATGCCAGTGTCTAAAAAAGAAGTCATTGATTGATTGATGTTCATGTCATCTGCTGGAAGGAGAGCCCCCTGTCCCGTTCACTATTGACCTCTCTGCCCCCGCACAGTTCCTGGTACACAGCGGTTGCTCTATAGGTGGGCGCTGGCCGGATGAATGACAGGGGACACTCAGGGCAGAGCTCACGTGCCATTTCCAGAATGAGGGCCTCACTTCTCTGCACCCTGTCCAGCCTCAGCCCCTGGCTGCCTGCCCCAATGCGTCATCCGACTTCGGACCTCACGTCTAGTGCTTCGTATCTTTCTTCCTTCACGGTGTATTCATCGAGAACCGGATGTACAAAAGACATTACGAGCTGGATTCTTCTAAGGCAGTGGTTCTCAACCTTGGCTGCACATTAGAATCGCCTGGGAATCTTTTTAAAATCCTGATTTCTGGGCCTCATCCTCCAGAAATTCTGTTTCTTTGTTACTAATGTTGTGGCCCCACCCCATAACAAAGAAACAGAATTTCCGGAGGATGAGGCCCAGAAATCAGGATTTTAAAAAGATTCCGAGGGGTTCTAGGGTGCCGGTTGAAAACAAGGTCTAAGGCCCCCCAAAAAGGGCGTTTTTAACCCCTGGGGGGATTTTTATGGGGCGCCACCGGTTGCCCGTCTGGGGGCCGGTTGGTGGC